ACTCACCCATCCCATCCCCCTGCACACTCAGCCCCCCCGCACCCCCAGCCTCCACCCCACCTCTTGCACACCCAGCCCTGTGCCCCCCACCCAGCCCTCCCCCCAACACCCCCTTCATACCGAGTCCCCCCCACACCCATCCCCCTGCACACTCAGCCCCCCCCACACCCAGCCTCCACCCCACCCCCTTGCACACCCAGCCCCTGCCCTACCCCCAGCCCCCACAACCCCTCGCTGCACGTCCCCCCCCCCACAAGCGCCCCGCTCCGCACCTGCAGGAACCCGGCGCGCTCGGGCCGGGCGCTGCCCTTGGCCAGCCGCACCAGCCCCCGCGCCAGGCTCTCCATGGGCCCGGCTCGGGGCTTGCGGCGAGCGCAGGAAACCCGGCAGCCGAGGCGGCTGCAGGCCGCGGAGAGGAGCGCCCCTGCTGGCCGCTCGCCGGGCCACCGGCTCAGCCGCTGCAGGACAAGCGGGGATCCCCCCACCCCGGTTCCCGGCAGCACGGCCCCTGGCTGGGGCGGAACCCCGCGTCCCAAGGAGCTGGGGGTATTGCCATGTGGACGCGGTCGAGACCCTCCGCCCGGGGGAGCCCTGTCCTGGACCAGGACCCCATGGCGCCAGGCGCTGTACAGACACAGAACAAACAGCCAGGCCCTGCCCCAAAGAGCGAGCCCCCATCTAAGTCTAAGCTGCTCCCATCACACCTTCCTACCTAGGGCCTCGCCGCTGACGGCGGTCCCACAAACCTGCCCGCGAGAGGGGCTTTAAATCAGGGCTGCTGGTCCAGCGAGCTTGGAAGGTTTAGCAAGAGAAAAGTGTCTCCTAGTTTCTTGGTTCATAAAAGTCTCCGGCCTGGAGATTCTGACTCCTGCTAGCAGTGATGGGTGAAACCTCAGGGCTTCTTGCCTTAGCTGCAACCACTGGAGGGCAGACGTGATCTCACCCAAGGGCAGATCTCCTGTTCCTTCCACTAGGGCAGTGGTGCTCAACCTGTGGTCCACAGACTATGTCTAAGGGGTCCATGAAAGGTTGTTACCATAGAACAGTGGTTTTCAACCTGGGGGTCCGCCGATGATGGCTAAGATTTCCCAAGGGGTCCACCCCTCCACTTGAAATGTTTGTAGGGGTCCACCAATGAAAAAAGGTCAAGAACCACTGCACGAGAGGACAGTGAAATAGATGCACTAGAGAGAGATGAACCTAGCGGGTAATAAAAACATGCCGGGCCAGCGCGGTGTCTGATGGGTTCAGCTGGCACCGCGTCATGACTAGATTTCCGCTATACTCTGACTTTTCCTCAGCCTCCTGCTATCTTCCACCACCGCGTCAAACCTCTCAGCCATGCTGTCGCTCTGTCTGCACTGCAAGCAACAGATGCGTTTACACGGAGACGGCGATCGCGCTGTGAAATCCTGGTGCAGACCAGGCCCAGGTTGTGGGCCCCAGGCTGGGCTCTTCACGGTCAATTCCGGACATAGGAGACTCAGCGGAGAGGTTTTGCAAGGACCCTGCCCTTCAGACTCAGGGGAGCGTCCTGGCAGCTGGCCACGGGGTGACACTCTCAGCAGAGGTGTCACGGACTGAATGGGTTATGGAGACCAAACGCGGGCATGGCAGGGTGTATGGGGAGTTGGCATTGCCCATGCCCAGACTGTAATCTCCTAAATTGTCCAACTGGCATCTTTCCCCAGCCCCAGAGCTTACAGGGTGAGGTTCTCAGGCCCGAGCGATCACAGCTTTTGTACCACCCACCTCCAACAACCCCCTACGAAGCTAATCAGCGCAGTCAGCATTTTATTTCCCCTCCAATCAATGTTAAACAAACAGTAAAAAATAAATAAAAAATCAGAACAGCTGTCTGAAAACCATCGTGACTGGCGTGGTGAAAGGGATGCAGGCTGCCAGCAGGGGGCGCCCTCACGGCTTCTTCACGGTGCTCTCGATGTACGACTCCAGCACAAAGATGGTTTCGTCGACTTGATTCTCGCTGGCGTCGATCCTGTGATTTTAAGGACAAGGGGAGGGAGAGCGTCACAGGTCGAGCAGCGCGTCAGTGCCGCCTTGTGCTTAGCGGGAGTCTCCCAGGTGAGCAGTGCAAAGCTATTTACTAACAGTCATGCCGGCGGAGGGGAAGTAGCGTTGTCCCTGTTAATATGGAGAATGCAACTTGCCCAAGAACAGAACCAGGAGTCCTGATTCCCAGCCCCAACCCTGCTGTGATTAGACCCACACTCCCAAAGCCAGGTCTAGCCCCCAGGAATCCCGATTCCCCATCCCCTAGACCAGCCAGCCCAACCTCGCCACGGCTCCGCTCACTTGTTGACGTTGCGTTTGAGGTTCTCCAGCTGCTGGCGCTCCGGGGCTGTGATCATCTCCTCGATCTCCTGCAGCTGCACCTCCTCGGCGCCGGTGGCCTGCATGGACGCTAGGATGGCCTCCACCCGCTGAGACTTCTCCAGCAAGCGCCTGGGGGCGAGGCAGACAGCGTGCACTTGAGTGCCAGTGAGACGCTGAAGCCCGTTCCCATCACTCAGGTTTGGGCCGACCGCGTTACTCACAAGGGGCCAGATCCAATCTCGGATCCAGGCAGGTTCCCTCCTGCCTTCAAATCCACGTGTCTGCCTCCCCACACACTGTCCTCATCAATAATGTCTCCTCCTTGGCCCTCCCCTCACCCATTACCCCGGGGCTTGCCTTTATTCCTCTTCCCCCTCCTACCCTGCGAACTCTGGGAGTAGGGGCTGCATTTGCAAAGCATCATGTGCACCAGCAATGCCCGTGGCTGTGCCAGACGCGCCAGGGCCTGTCTCGGCAGGAGCCGTTTGTACTGATGCAGCTCCCCAGAGGGGCGAACCCTCCCCCCCTGCAGATCCTTGCACGCAGGACAATTCCCACTATTACAAAGCGGGAGTGAACCACATTGGCTCAAGCACTGGCTGATGCAGAGAGAGGTGTGTGTGTGTGTGTGTGTGTGTACACACACACACACACACACACACTCTCCAGGATGACCATCCCGGCATGGATGATATTTCTCCTTAACCGCCCTCCCTGCAAAACACTCTTCATTACCATCCGTCTGTCTATCTTTGACACTTATTGGGCACCAAGACCCAGTTGCTCCAAGTTATTTAGGTTTCTAACTCCCAATGGTAGCTAGGCGCCCAACTCCCTTTGGGGATCTGGGCCCAAGTGCCCTAGCACCCGGGTACCAGCTTGTTGACATTTCCCATTGGTAAGCCCCTCTAGTTACGAAGCCCACGCCAGAGGCCTAAGCTACCTGACCCCAGCGTGACGACTTGGCCCGGGAGCTTTCGGCCTGCTTAGCGCGACTCACTTGTTCTCCTTGGTTTCGTACTGTCGCCTTTCAATCAGGTTGGCCACGCTCTAGGGAAAAGGGAGAGAGAAACAAGAAGCAGGGTTTGGGGGAGGGATACAAAAGAAATGGCGCCATCTGATTGTGCGCTCAGCCAAAGGGAGGTGGGGGGGGGGGGAGAGTGAGCGGGAATACTGGGCCCCAAAACCGGCTCCCCCCAAGCCTGCAGAGAGGTCCTCTGCCCCATGAGCCGTGAAGACGGGCAGAATCGGGGTGAGGGATGGGTTTTAGGCATCTGCTCCGGCTTTGGTCTCTCTGCAGATAATTCTTGTGCCATTTACAGGGCCTAGTGTGGAAATCCGTGTTACCTTCACGCACAGTTGCTGAGGATGGCGTTAAAGATCACAGATGCGTCTGAGAGGGTTCATCACCCCCCCCGAGCATGAGCCGCGTGCTCTGAGCCCCTCTCATAAGCTAAGCAGGGTCAGGCTAGGTCTGTGCTTGGATGACAGCCCTTCAAGGCAAACCTAGACAGAGCAGGGAGTGGTGCCAGCATGCCTCCCTCTGAACTGGCCCTGGACGCGATGCCCAAGCACAGCAGCAGGGGGCACTGTGCTGCGAGCGGTTGCCTCTGTCAGCAGAGATGTAACAGTGATCCGCTCTCTGTGGTCAGCAAAGAGACCATCGTGCTTTTTCCAGTCGCCAGGGCACTACCATATCCAGCCTCCTGGCCAGGTGTGAATGTGCCGGGTGACATTCTGCCTCCCTACAGTTCTCTCTGCCGGTTCAATGGAAGGCTGGACTTTCCATTTCCTGTCCTCAGCGCCTGTGCAGGGCAGCTGCGCACCGTCAACCCAATCAAGGGGCTGCATTTCAGTGGCCGAGTGAGCCCCGTGTCACTTTTCCCCTCCGTCGGTAAATCGCTATGGGATGAAAGGGGCTCAGTGACTCTCTGCACCTGGGAATGTTTTTGTCCATGTTGCCGGGTCCCCGACAACCCAACCGCTGTTGTGGTGACGCGGAATCAGAGAGAGGGAATAAACCAAAGGAGTACAAGGGGTGCGAAGGACACAGTGTCAGGTGGATGGCCAGGGAATCATCGGGTACCTTATAACAGCGGTGCAGCAGCATCCGCGCAGAGGACAGAGTGTTCACTGTGTACAGATAGAACGTCCTGGAGGGGGCGTGGTCGGGAGTCTTTGGAATCTCCTGTTTGCGGGCAGGAAGGAAGGAAGATTGTAACGTGTGCGTCACAGCCCTCCGGGGAGAAGGTATCTATCTGTTCTCTCTGCGTGCTCCTTTCTAGCTTCCCCCAGGGACCCAGCGATCGTCATTCTTGCAAAGAGAGAGAGGGCGTGTGGGCTAGTGGTGTGACCCTGACCGCTTACATCCCTACCACGGCTCCACCAATAATTCGCCGTGTGATCCTGGGAAAGTCATTGCACCTTTCCCGGCCTCGGCTCCCTCAGCTGCAAATTGCAGGGAAGGGCACTTGCTGGTGGCAGTCTGAGGACCAGTGCTCGGAAACTGTCCAGTGACACATATTTCCAGTTACTATTATTCGTTAGCAAACCAGGGGCTAGCTGGGGGACCCGACAGCTAGGGGAGAGCTACTGAGATCACAAAACGCTTGACAGATATTAATGAAATCAGTTTTCCACTTCCCTGGGAGACAGGATAACACTGGATCCATTGTCCAGGTCTATGAAAACGGAGGCAGAGAGAGATGAATGACCTAGGAGTTCTGATTCCTTTGTTCTGATGCTAAGCAACACTCCCTCCAAGAATTGGGAATGGAAAGGAAGATCCCATCCCACTGCTCTAACCACAAGACCATGCTCCCACCCCAGAACGGAAGCCAAGAGTTCTGACTCCCAGCCCCCTGCTCTGATGGGGATGCAACCCAGGTTTCCCAGTCCCCTGCTCTAACCACCTTCCTTCATCTGCATTCATCTCTATGTCCCGTATGCCCTGTTTGTGACACACTCTGCTCACCTCTGGGTGACAGCGTGAATAGGAACTCTCACCTGTAAGGACACAAAGTTCTCGGACAGCATTTTATACAGCATGTCCTTTGCCTCCTTGGCGGGAATCATGGCAAAATCTTCCACTTGTTTCTGTTCTAAATGCTTCTTCCGCAGAAGCAGACGGAATATCCTTGCACAACGGGAACCAAATCTAGATGGGGGAGGAACAAACCAACACACACACAACATCAAAACCTAGACTCGCTGCACAGGGGCATCAGAGAATTGAGACGGTTCCTACATTAACGCTGCAAAGGAGAAAAAGCACCTTGTGTGTGTTGGAGACGGAATGAAATCCTGACTTCAGAGCTACAGGCCCAAACCAGATCAGACCACTGGGTGCTTTGAGTCTGGTACCCGGTCTCTGGACCAGTAACTGATGCTTTAGAAATGCATGAAATGGTATGCGTCTGAGAGTTAATCATGCAGATGTCACTAAATCTTCACTCAGCAATGTTCATTTCCCTCGTTCATGACATCCAGGCTAGCTAAAGAGGGAACAGGCTGCCCAGCAGAGACTGGAGAATCTCATCACAACTAATGTCACCTTCCTATTTGGTACCACCCAGGAAGCCTTGAAACCATGAATACTTTCAACATACAGCTGGCTAATGTGGGGCCTGATCTGAGATATATCAGTCACTAAAACTGATGGGAGCTTAGCACCTCTCAGGAGTGGCTCCTTCCTTCCTCCCTCTTCAGTGAAAGGATGGAGATTGTGGGTGATAAAGGTGC